AATTATTTGTTACTATTTTTATTTGTGATTTTTTTGGACATTAATTTTAAATAAAATTTTAACATTACAATTTAAATTTGGTTTGGATAGGTGAAACTATTCAATAAAAGTTTCTTTTATTGAATAGTTTCACCTATCCAAACCAAATTTAAATTGTAATTTTAAATAAAATTTTAACATTACAATTTAAATTTGGTTTGGATAGGTGAAGCTATTCAATAAAAGTTTTTTTTATCTGGCAGTAGTATAGGAATAGTTTTTCATATAACTTGTTTATATAATTTTTATATATTATTAAATAAGTAAATACATTTAATATCACAAGTTTTAAATAAATAAAAAAAATTAATTATTTAAATAATACGTAAAATTATATCAAAATATAATACAGAAAGATTTTTTTTAAATTATTTTTTTAACTTATTCATTTAAAATACATGTTAAGGTTGTATTTGTTATATCTTTTTATTATTAATTTGTATGAAAATTCACAAAAAAAATTTAATATTAATATTATGTAAAATGATTTATTTAAATTGTTAATAAAATTAGAGTTAGTTTTTTACATAAATTAATGATAAAAATATATAATAAATGTATTTTTAATTTATATCTTAAAAATATAAATTCATATATTTTTGTTAAATTTTTATTTAGAATTAAAATATTCCTTGAGTTTGTGGCGTTTGGGGGCAAAAAGAGAGAGAAGGAATATTATTTAATTACCTGAAACTTGAACTGGGAACCGTTGAGGTGAGTTGTCAGTGGGCCCCCGCGGTTTTACATCTCGTAAATGCGCTGTGCTGGCAGTTTGATCTTCGACGGGCCCGCTTGTGCTGCTGTGCACTGCTGCACGTTTGATTTTTGATTAATGTCACGTGGGATAGAATTTAGATTTTCCTAACATCTACTGTAAGATGTAATAATAGCCTCTCTTTTTATTTATTTATTATTATTTTTTTTTTTACTTTCATATGATTTAGTGGATGAACCACACTATTTAAAGAGTAATAAGTAGACTTTAGTCGATTTTGACTCTTGATACCAACCCAAAAACAAATACTAACTCTTAATAAATATTTTTCTTGTGAAAAATGGCTCTTTTTTTTTTCGGTACAAGTAATAATAGCTTTTTGTTGTAAGGACTTTGGAGTTGGAATAAATAAATGAATAATGATAAATGAGTTTAAAATTTAGGAGAATATTTATATGGTTTAGTGATCAATACTTTTTATGTTAAGTTAGGTAAGCGTAGGGTTTGAGTTTTATTCTCACTATTCAAAAGAAAAATTTAGAATTAATGAAACGATATAAATTATGTTGTTTAAAATATTAAAAAATAAATTATATATTATTTAAAATTGATTGTTTTTATTTTTT